CACTATTTTTTCATTTTATTCCTAATATTTTATTATATTTTTTTTATTAAAGTTTTCTGATTCTAATTTTCCATTAATTTCCTATTTCTAACTTCATTTTATTTCTATTTCTTATTTTTTTTTCATGTTTTCTTTCTCAATCACTATTTTTAAAATTATTATATATTTTATTACGTATATTATTATGTGTTCTTATAATATCATTATTTTCTATTTTTAGATATTTCTTTATTTCACTAATTATTACTTTATTTTCTTTCATTTCTTTAATTCTTATAATAATTTCTTCTTTTCTTACATATTCATATATATTTCTATTTTTTCTTCATTATTTTCATTTAATTTTCTTTTTTGGTAATATGAAGTTACATAAGTATTTCATATTTTCAGTTCATTAATTTCTTTCGTTTGAGTCTTTATATAATATTTATATTTTTCAATTATCTTCTTCTTCTTCTTCTTAATTTAAAAGTTCTTTGATTAATTTCTTCTTTTAATAACTTTAGTATTTTATAATCCTAAGTCTTGTAATTTAGTCTGTATTATATTTTAGTTATCATACTTTCTTCTGGCTATTGTATAACATTCTGGTTATCATGTTACTTTTGATTATTATATAATATTTAAGTTATTATATCACATTCTAGCTATTGTAATGTGTTTCAATTATTTACTTTTTTTATATGATTTGTATTACTTCTAAGTTATATTATGCTTTATATGACTTTATTTATATTAGATAATTTATGTTTTATATATTATTCTAATTAATTATTTAACTATTATCATGTGATTTCTAGCTAATTATTTTTTCTTTATGATTCTTCATTCAATTAGTTATTTCTTAATCTCTTAACATTTTGACTTTGCTAATTATTATTTATTTTATTTTAAAGGAAACATTATATATTATTTTAAGATTTTTTTATTTCTACAATATATCTTATTGAAGCAATCTATACGAATCATCTCAATATTAAACTTATCAAAGTCAAAGCTTACTCAGATAATATTTAACTATAAAGTTAATTCTTTAGTTTAATATTCTCAGCACTTTAGCTCAATACTTTCAATGTCTCCAGATATTATTACATACATAATCATTCTTTATTATTATTTCCATTCAGCAGTTTATTAAAGAGACTTTTTATAAATTGTCTATTTTCAACTTAATTAAACTGAACATGCTAGCTAAATAATTATATATCTATTATACAAATTGGCTTGCCATTTTATTTATACTAAGCAATAATATTATCTTATACATCACATCTTATACTGTTTATTATCTTAGAAAAATGAAATATCAATAGTTTCTAAAGTTGATATCTATTCTTAAAGTTCTTAAAATAAAACATCAATCAATTTACCTTACAATACTTTTGTACCTTAAATATGATGCAGCTAAAAAAGATTTCTATTATATATTTAGATGTATTCTATTATTAATTATCAAATGAATGCTATTATTAGACAATCAAAAGACTATTTTAAATCTATTACCAATACGCAAGATTGTGAAATTGAACAGTTTAACTATTAGATACTATTTACTTACAATTCTACTTCCTTCTTTATACTTATTAAAAAATTATTTCTAATTACCTTTTTAACTTCATTCGCAGTAAATTTAACTCCTTATTTTTAATTACTGTTACTTGCTCTTCTTTATGCATTTTGTTTTTGAAGTAACATATAATATTTAGAAGCATCGTTACTTGATTATTTTTATGATTTTAAAAAATCTTCTGATATTAATCTCAATTTTAAATTAAAAATTTTTCTTCCCTTAGTTACAATCTTTTATCTTTTTCAAACAAAGTTAATCCTATTGATGTTATAAAGTGTATAGGATCTTATTAGTCAAATTTTTAGTGTAATAGTAATTATACTCTTCTTTTCTTAATTATTTTTCTGAAAAGTAATAGTCTTAGCTTAAGTTAAGTTTAATTTTAAGGAGTATAAGATCAGTCTTTTTATAATTAATTTTAGATTAGTTTTTAACGAGATTTTATAACTTTTTCTTGATTTTGTATTTTAAAATTTTTATTTTATTTTATTTTCTATCATAATAAAGATTTTGCAAAACTACCACATTTTTAAAAAGAAGCTTAGTAAAATAAACAATTATTAGTCGAATACTAAATTATATATAAATATTAAATCTTATATAATAAATAAGGAATTAATAATTAAATATTATAACTTATTATTTGATTTATATAATACTAATATTTGAATTATTTACAAAATAAAACATATACAGAAAAATGAAATTATAATAATTTAATAATGAATAATAAGAAAATTATATAAAATGTTTAATGTTTTATAAATTAATATATATATATATAATTGATGATAATAATAATACATGATATATAATTAATGATGACAATAAATTCTGATATATTATTAATAATAATAACAATATATAATATATAATTAATAATGACAATAATACGTAATATATAATTAATGTTTACACTATCACATGATATATAATAGAAGACAATAATATTATTTGATGAATAATATAAATGATGATAATAAAATAATTGAACAGAAGATTTAATATTAACTTTAAGAAAAATAAGATAACTGAAGAAATAAGAAATTATAGAAAGAGAAGATGAAATATATGAAAGAAAAAAAGAATAACTATTGGAATGTTATAACAAGAAATTAGAATAAAAAGAGAAATAATTAATGAAAAAGAGATAAATCTTAGAATAAAGATGAAGAGGAATAATATGAAAATGGAATTGGAATAATATTAATAGAAAATAATAATGAAAAATAATTCTTAAATAAATAAAAATTAATTTGTAAAATAAATCCTTTTAATGGTGAGTGGCAGAAATGCATTAAGTATAGCTCTTGTTGAAGCTATTGAACTCATAAAATGTCATACATTTATAAAATACAGGTTTTGATAATTACAGTGTATAATATTTTTATTAAAGGCTAAAATGACCATTATTACAGTAAAAATTGAATCTAGCAAATTGGAAATCATAAATTATATATATCATTAACTGATCTTAAGTGATTACTTGCAGCAAAAATTAATAAGCTGATCCTTTAGCAAGAACATATGAATTTTGAAAAGAGATTTAGGTTTAAAATCCTTGATTTAAAATTATATATGTAAATCAATATTAAAATTATATTTTTTTTTTGGAAAATTATCGAATATTCCAGAAATTATATAATTATATAATTACATGATTTTATATAATTATGCGGACGCGTTCCTCAAAAGATTACCTTTTTCTCACAACGAACAACTAAAAAATAATGTTTTAGTGATATCTTTATTTTTTAGACACATACAAATTTTTACTTTTAACTTACAAAGTTGTTGTTCTAAACGGTATAGTAAGGTATTTGATTTTTGTTAATTTTATTTTTTATTTTTATTACATATTTTATTTCCTTTTTTTTTATTAGCTAAGTAGCGGCTGGAGTTCAACATGGAGATATTAGTCTTATTTGCAGCCACTTTGGGCTTTAAAAAGTAGATACAGGAAGGAGGTCGATGGTATATCTTTTTTTGAGTGTGTCTGATACTTTTTTATTGTACCTATACACTACCTATACACTAATAATTTTTGGGATTTTTTTTTATTACAAATTTCAGCGGGGAAGTTGGATCTCTTGCGTATGAAAAGTTAAAGAAACTTTCTCAGCAGCAGTCAAAGAGTGGTCTAAGACTAGATTCAAAAGCAATATACTTGTAGTTATTATTCTTGAAGAATTTATTTTTTTTTTAAGGTGAGAATGCGCTGTCTTTAGACGGTTTTAATGATACTACTCATAGTCAATATTCGTATCGAGTAGTTAGTCATAGGAGGTATCTTGCCCTATGCATGCTTTAAGGGTTAAGGACTTATATTGTCGTAAAATTTAGATACCAATTTTCATACTTTTGTATATGCTCATACTATGACTAACTCTTGCCAACACTGTTTATCACTTTTATAGGTTGCTACTACAAGTCATTACAAGTCACTACAAAGGTTCTTTAAGAAAAATTTTTACCAAAATGTTGATAATCTTTTTTATATACAGTAGCGACCAAAAGAAACGCAAGTGCGTAATGCAATATCATTTAACTTCACGTGATTTCATCCAGTACTAGTTATAAAAGTAGTATAATTAAAAATTTTATAACAAATTAAAAAAATAACTCTATGTAAATAATTGAATCAATTAAAGAAAAATATTTTTATATCGGAATAAATATAAGTTGTATTAATAAATAAAGGTTAATAATAAATAAAAATATACAAATTAATCAATGCCATTTCTTTTTTCTTTATTAAATTATAAATAAGTATACTATAAAAATAAATAAAATATTAAGTAAATAAATAAATAATGAAAAATTTAATGGTACAGAAGATCAAATTTTTTTTTTTATTGTTTTTTTATTAAATAAATTGTCTGATATTCTAAAAAAAGTTACTAAATTTTAATTTTTAAATTTATCTTTAAGACTTACGTTTGTAAATGCATTAATTGATAATAATAATAATATTGGCGTTAGTGAGTATTAAATAAATGCAGCAATAAAAATTTATTAGCTTAGATACCTCTTCATGTTCAATTATTAAAAAACTTAATTAATTGCTAGTAAATGTTACCTCCTCCTAATTTTAAGGTTTTATTATTTTATTGAATACGGTATTATTTTCTCTATTTATTTTATTATGTACAGTATGTACTAATCAAAATTTAAAAAAAAATATTCGTCTTTAGGTCGTATGTTTGATGATAAAATAAAGTTACGTGATGTTCTTTGGTTTATTCAAAATTTTGATTAAATATTGAGTTTTCAAAGAGCCTAAAAAAATATTTATTATCATTTCTATAAAATTATGCGAGTATTATTTTGGTAAAATAATATAAATTATATATATAATAATAAGTGACTTATATATTAATCTGACAATTAAATATTAAGAACAATTAATTTAAATGAATAAAAATATATATTATCTCTTTAATTTTAACAAGGTATGATTTTTAACGCCATTTTCACGTTCTAATCTTCTTTGTTTCAGCAATATTACATCTATATCATGTTTCGCTACCGATAATGTTTTGTACTGCTTTAATTCATTTCTCAAATAATCTTTTTCAGGCTTCGCATCTTCTTTGAATCGTTTCTTTATTATGTCTGACTTTATACCATCATATTCCTGTTTTCTTTCTTCAATACTTGCGAATTCTCTTTTAACTAAAATCTTGCACCCCTCATTATTGTCTTTAGACTTAATTTCCTCATACTCCTGCTTAATCACACTCTCATTCTTGATATTTTTGAATTCATCCCCAATACCTATTTCGCTCTTTATCTGGATGTCATCAAAAAGAATACTTCTCGCACGTAGCCAACTTTCTGGTCGATAATGAATGTGTAAAGCGGCCACCGGTATTGTTGATAAACTACTTAACATTTTGTTCGAGGCCACTTTGACGTTTTGACTTTTTTCAAAGCCTGTAGAAAGTTTTATCCCCATTCCAATTCCAGTTGATTCAAGAACTTGTACTTTTTGTATTCTATCTTTGTTATTACTAATTATTCTTTCAACTTTCTCCAAACCTTTAGCTTTATAAAAGTAAACGGAGATGGCTCCAATTCCTCCAAATTTTGATTTTGCAAATTGGGCATCTCCCCTAGAATCGTCATCTATCCAATTTGTGACATCAAATTTAAACAAATTTTTATATCGTTGTTCATCGAAAAATCCATCTTTACTCGCTTTGACTCTCGATTGTTGAAGTTGCATGCAAGTGTGATCCCATTGCCCATCAACAAATAGCTTTGCCTTAAGAATCTTGCAAGTTGATGAAAAGATATCATGCGGAGCACCGAATTGTACAATATAATTTGTGCATGGTTCTTCAACCGCAGCGTAGTATGTTTTATCACTACATTAAGAATTGATTAGAAGGATGCTAAGTCATGTGAATGGCTTCTTTTTTTTTTAATAACATACGAACCTTTCGATTTTTTGCCCAGTTTTTTGGTCAAGTACATAAGAAGGTTCCGTAGTGATCTGTTAATTATTATTTCAAGTTAAATATTGATTTTAGTGATAAGAATGTTTTGATCAATCCTTGGTTGGTGTATTCTTTTCGAAAAAAAAAAAAACGCAAGAAACTTTCTATTAAAAAAAAAAAAAAAAAAAGTAATGGTTACGAGAACTGCTTTTAACGTACAAATCTTTTATTTATAGGTTCACTACATTCTTTTAATGGCTTTCCGTTTATTAATATTTCTAACAAAAAACCAGAATAAATCATCTTTGTGAGTGATAAACGATTGCGGTATTCTAAAAAAAAAAAATGATGTGAGAGTGAAGTTATTTGAACTGTAATTGTATAAAAAAAAAAATATTAATCACATATGACGTCAAATAGGACCAATGGCATCACCGCAACAAAGCTAATTAATAGACTTTTATCGAACACATTTTTTTTTATACCAATGCGTGAATAACAGGAAATCTAATTCCTGATGCATTATTCGATAACTCTATTTATTATGTTCCGAATGGATCTTCAGCGGAAGTACGAATTCAATAATTGAAATATGCTGTATGTATCACGAAATCTGTTTAAATTTTTATTTAAATTTTTTTTTAATAATAAATATTAATCGATATAGTGCTTTATTTGTTGCAATATAAAGTTAATTTTTGTACCCGAACTTATAAATTAGCATAAAATTCAGTGTTTTCATTGAAGTATTACGTAATTGACAATCTATTGCAACATAAAATCATATCATTTTGGACATCAAAAATATATCAAAGTCATCACATGTTGAAACTGACATGAAAATAATAATGAATGAATTATTCAAAAATTTTAAATAATTTTGACCGAGTCATTTCCATTAGAAAGTTGGAAATTAACCTAAATATGATGTCATTTGAGCAAATGCATCAAATATCATTGTGACTTTTTCTATTTACACAATTTATCTTAACATGGTGAAATTAAGTACGCTTCTCCAGCCTAAAGCTTGTTCTCATATTAATTGACGAGGTTTGTGTTGATAAGCCATGTTAATACTTTTTACCCGTTTATCCAACGTTTCAACTAACGATAGAGCAATACAAAAACACGCCAAATACCCATTAATGACAAAAATCGTTAAGATAAAATCTATACCATGTGATCCATTACTAATGTTTATTGTGGAAATATTCTTTACAAAATGTTAAGCTTAAAGCCATAGAACCCGGTCCCGAACAATGAAAAAAATGATGAAGAGAGTTTATATTCGGCATTACGTCAAAACATTTTAATTAGAAAAGCAATCAAGTATTTAGAGGTGGGAGCTTTTACGGAACAATAAAAATAAGTAATCTTAGCCTCCAATATTTTGCTAATGGCTTGTTACTTTTACTATACATAGTTTAAACCAAACAAAAAATCCAAAATCAAGACTCTCATTTTTCGGATTCAGCCGCAGAATGGCTTTTCAATGTCATAATCATAAAACCAGTTTCATTATTTGGGCAAAAGCAACCAATCGTTACACACATTTTTCGGGATCAGCCACTGAATGGCTTTTCGATCGTTACCAATGGCTTATACATATATATAATCTGCGTTTAATTAAACGCCACCAACAACGCCATGAAATATCATAATACAAGTTTCTGATATCTAGACGACAATTTAAATCGATGTTTGTAATCAAGTTAAGCGTTTTATTTCGGAATCAGCCACAGTATGGCTTTGGTATAATAAATCTGCGGCTTACAAGTTGTAAGAATGCAAGGTTCAAATATTTCAAAATTACTTACGCATCTTCGAGGAGCAATTAGCAGAATTAGCAGGTGAATTTCCGAGGAGTCGATTCGTTATCTTCATAACTCCAATAAATCTTTTTCAAAGGAGCGGTGGAACGTGAAGAAAATTGAAGTCAAACATTATGACCGCGTTTTATACATATTTTTTTCCATAAAGCGAAGCCATGAGAAATGACAAAAAATGATTTTAAAAATACAAGAACGTTTACAACGCATTAATTATTGATATGGAATACCTTATTTTTTTTTATTTACAGCTGTAATTTTACGTGCACATCAAATAAAAGTACACGTTGGATATTATTATTTGCGTACGGTCAGTTGCTTGAAAATTTTGAGACCACTAAATTAGTTATTATTTAATCGATTAAAAATATGTTTTCGAAGCCACAATTTATTGTTGAAACAAAGAATTATTTACTTTTGAAATTATTTAATTATATAAAATTCTCGGAAGAAAGCCGCCATTTACAGCCCGTTTTTATCAATTATTTTCTTGGACCCGCATTTTATGTATAAAATATTCACCTCTAAGCCTTATTACGATACTCAATAAGAAGCTGTAGATAGCTCAATTTAAGTATAAAAAGCTTGCCTCCCTCGTCCCGTAATTAAATCCAAAAAAAATCAAATCATTCTCAAAAAAAATAACAAACAATACAAACAATATCAAATCATTTGTAAGATATACACGAAGCAAGATGAAAGTCCAAATAATTTTGTTATTCTTTATTGCTTATTTAGCTTCTGAAAGCTATGCGAAACAATGCAAAATTTGTAAGTTCACTTGAATTTTGATTTGATCGTTCTTATTTAAAACTCTTCATTTAATCGTTGTCTTTATTATATTTAGCTTGCAAGGGTAAAAATGTGCATGAAATTGGGGGTAGCGGTAGCGGCTGTTATGGACTTGATCCTTCTGATCCCTTTAGGTCTTGCGAAGCCAGCACTCCCGGTACTTCGTACGAATTTTTCGACGATTTTGGCTGTAAGGGAAGTGTGGTTCGTTCTGGCCAAGATTTTGTCGTATTTAGGCCCCCTCCCGTTAAAGCTAAATCGGTCAAAATAAGCTGCCCATAATAATTTAGTTGTCGTAAATTTTATCATTTATTATTTTCAAATTAAGTAATTTTCTATTCATGATAGAGTGAATTTTTTTTGTTAAATTTTTTTTTTTTGATTGTTCTAGTCATATTTACCTGATCGATTTTTTTTAAATGATAATAAATATGTAAATAATTAGTACATTTTCATCAAGTAAATTTTACAATTATTGGACTGTTTTCTTACTAAATTTCATTTTCTACTGCTTTAATTGACCATTTCTATCGCTGAAAATTACTGTCTTTATTTGTGGTGTACACGTGATACTTTGTAATTCAAAGTAAACAACTCAATAAATGGACTCGTATTAAAATTGTTCGGAGGAAAAACCTAATGCTGATCGAAAATTTTGAATATTATTTGTTGTTAAATCGCATACTTTTTCGATAATTTTTGTCGGCAATTTTTTTCTTTTATGCAACCTATTTAATTCATTATAAATTCTTGTGATCACTTTGTAACACTGAATTATACACCAATTGAATGAAAGTTATCTCAATAGCTAATGAATCACGCGAATTTATGAACTATGATAAAAATCACAAATGATTTATTTTTGTTTCAGCGTTCCCCAAATTTAACAAATAAGGAATGCTAATTATAATAATAAAAAAAAAAATAAATAAAATTAAAATCAATTGTTGTTACAAATACAAAGGAAAAAAAAAATTTTAATTTATGCATCATGAGAACGAAATTCATCGGTGAAATTTTCATTCGAAATTTCTTCATTCCCATTTTTCGTAATTTAATAACAAAAAAAAATTCTTGAAACGTTTCATAATGGTTGGTCACCATCACGAACAATTGTAAATATTTTTCTTTATAATACCATCAAATGTAGGACAGAAAGAAATATCAAATGTTACACAATCTATTTGGACAAACTTCAATCAATATTTTAAAAAAAATATTTTGCTATTAAAATCACCTCCATATGCGTTGTTAATTAATTTATTTGTCTAAATGGGTTATTTATAAAACTTTAAAATTTTACATGACTAGCATTATAAACTCATAAAATAGGATGCATCACTATCTAAGTTGAAAATTTCTTTAGCTTCATAACTGACATATTAAAGTTATCGTACATACTAATATTTTATACATATATTATTTTTATACCGTTATCAACTTATTTTTTAAATTAATTAGTAAAATATATATTATTATCTGGGAGTGCGTCAGCAAAAAAAGAATTTTGAAACACATGACTGATCAAAATTTAGAAATCCACCTTTTCTATTGACTACGCCCATAAATTAAACTTTAAATTTTTGGAATTGATTAATAATATTTCAATCTATTTGTATTTAAAAATAGAATGAATATCTTTATATTTTGATATTATCCGTTATTAACTATATGGGAGGGTTTCTAGGAAAATCAGGTTCCGAGAAATTTTTCAATTAAATTAAGAGCTTAATACATTTTAATCTAATAACATCAAAAACTAAAATGCAATAAAAATCTCAATTTTGTTAAAAAATTCCCGGAACCTGATTTTCCTAGCAATCAACCCATATCCTTCCTTTACAATAAAGAGAATTGAAGTTACAAAATTTTTGAAGAGCTTTTTTGTTTATTTATTTGTATTAGTATATAAGTTTCAAGCGAATCTAGCTAGTTTCATTTTTACCATTCATTCCTAAATAGTTAATGAATATATATAGTAAAATTTCAGAGTTCGTTACAGATGATCGGCATAAAGCTAAAATTTGTATTACATTTTTTACAATATGCTCGTACGTCCAAATTTTGAAGCCCATACGACAACTCGAACCGAAACAGTATAATTAATTTATGCCATTTTTGAGATACGAAATATTATTTTTATTAAATACCAAAATAGTGCACTATGTACATAAATCTATAATACTATCTATTTTTCAACGATTTCATTAAAATGCAGCCAGGTTTCACTTTTCTGCCTTTTATTCTTGACATTTAATTTTCCTTTTTTAGATTTAAAGATGACTTTTTTTTTAAAAAATAATTAAAAATAATAATAAAATATTCCAATAGTGTAACGCGCGACAAAATTAAAATGATCGGCAACAATGTTACCAATCAGTGGCTAAATTTTAATTAAATTAAAAAATCCGGGCCC